AAACTATAACTCAGCCATTACTAATATATACCTCAGCCATGTCTAAATCGTAACTCAGTCATAACATAAAACAGAGATCACTAAAATATAAGTTACCTCACTATACTTTTTGATATCTTCAGCAATGGCCTCATCTAATGCTGAACGTGTACGGGTCCCAAGCCATCGAAACAACGGGATCTCTTCATTCTCGACTAAATTCCCGAATCGCTCTCCTAAGCATTTGATAGAGTCATATGCCCAAGCTTGTAACACGTAAACCGGCCCACCAAGGGTGTACAAACTACCTCTAGGATTCAAGCACTTGACATTATCAACCATAGTCTCAAATGCGACCCGACCCCATGGATAAGCCTTCACGGCTTTATCACCAGAAACTATTTTTGCAGCTTCAAATGGTATCCGTGAGTTATGATGCACGCAGTAGAGTCCAATGGCTAGAAAAATCAATAGCCCCAACCACTTGCGCTTCTCAACAGACCATGACCGGCACACTAATAATCCTTTAAGTAGCTCATCATATGTTGGACCTTCCCCACCGGGAACTTTCAATTCTTCTGTTAAGAACTTTTTGAAGTCAACTGAAGGTTCAAACTTCTCTGATGGAGTTGGATCTATGTTTAACCCCGTGAGGTGAGCGAATTCATTCAAACCAAACCTTATAGGCTGGCCACCAACTAAACACCAAAGCTCTTTGTGTTTAATTCTCAACTGATTACACAATAGATAGTGTACAGTCTTAGCAAACCAAACGAATTTGCTTTCAACTAATTTAGCAACTATTCCAAGAGGTAATTGCTTGATCTCATCCCACGCGTCTTGTCCAATTGATTCCCTAACCCCAGGGAAATCTGCCATCCTAAAATAGGTACACATGCTTTTATTCTTGAGGCTAGACATCCCTTCTTCGTAAAGTCTCGGTGGGTAACGCATTGCTTGTTCTGCAGCCATCTGAAATAAGTATAAACACATCATAACTCAGCCACAACATAAACTATAACTCAGCCACAACATAAACTATAACTCAGCCACAACAGAAACTATAACTCAGCCACAACATAAACTATAACTCAGCCACAACATAAACTATAACTCAGCCACAACAGAAACTATAACTCAGCCACAACATAAACTATAACTCAGCCACAACATAAACTATAACTCAGCCACAACATAAAATAAGTTAATAAGTGAGCCATAACAAATATAATAACTCAGCCGCATCAATAACAAACTAAGACAACTCAGCCATAACATGATAAGTAACTCAGCCATAACATGATAAGTAACTTAGTCGTCGAATCTATAGATCTGACAAATCAGCCGTCAAGAATACTGTAACTCAGCCGTCGAATGAATAGAGCAAACGACGGCGACAATCAGCCATAATAAGCAAAAACAAACACGAGTATAGTCGGAAAAACTCTAAATACAGTTCGACACTTACCGGAATACGAAAGGTCTCGAATGTAGCAACGAAACGACGACTCACTCACGGCGACTTCTTCTCTTCACAGCGACTGAAGGCGAGTTTGAAGAGCGAAACAGAGAGAGCGTCGGCGGCGAGTACTGTGTAAAAGGAGTATTATCTTCGTCGTCGGCGGCGAGGAAGTTCTCTGTCGCGAGAGAGAAATTTTTTTTTTTTTTTTTTCAATTGTAAACAGTGACGAGAAAGAAACTGTTCAGTTTCTCTTTTGATAATTAATGAAAGAATAACTGTCGATGATGATGTGGCAATATGACGTGGCATTTTCGGATCTGATGTGGCAATTTTAAGTGAAAACAGACAAAGAGTGTTTATTGTAATTACACCCATCCCACTAAACATCTAAGGAATAAAAAAAAGATTTGGCTGTTTAAGGAATAAAAATACAATTGTGGTCTATCTAAGTAATTCTCCCATATTATTTGAATGTTTAGAACGTTAACTTATGAGATGTTGAAACGTTAAAAATTTAGTTACCTTTTGGCCGATTAGCAGAAGCTCCAACCCCATAAGTAAGCCACCCTTTTTGGGGTTTCGTGCTTCCATGAAGTGGATGATCCTAACAACAACCTTTTGGTTAGTAAAACCCTATGATAGCTAATCAAAAACTAAAGACAGTCGTAGTTGAGTGGAAAGAGAAATTGTACGGGCCATTGTAATACAATAAGTTCTCTGGTTCATCTTTCAAGAACTAAGCGTTTTGGAGCTTGTTCCATTCTCTGCTTTAGATGGCTATTTATACATAAATCAAACGTTAGAAATTAGAAAATTTTCAATTTCTTTTTATTGCAGTTAAGTAGAAGTTTTCTTTATAGTTTTAAAAAGTTCTTTTACTATTGTTAACTTTCAGTCGTAGACTCGTAGTAATTTTCCTTTTCTTTCAGAATTTTTTTTTTGAAAATGTTAAAATTTTCCTTGTAATTATTTATGTATTTGACAATATAACATTTAATTGTATTTGTATTTTTTAATTAAATAAATTATTTAGAAAACTTAAAATTTTAAGAAAGTTTATTGACATGGAACTTTGTGATTGGTCGTCTAAAAGTTTATTGACATGGAACTTTGTGATTGGTCGTCTAAAATCCTATGTGGACGCTCTCAAAAACTTATAGCCTCAACTTTTATATAGTATATATTTGCATATAATTAAAAGTTATTTTTTATAGAATTATTAGGATCTCGTTTTGATTAACATATTTAATGATTACCATATTATTAATAAAATATAACTAAAGCTAAAACTTAGAGATTGTTATTCCCTAAAATGTAGTCATTCGGATTAAATTTAGGTAAGATACTATTGAATGTTGTTAATCAAATCTTTTAAAATGAACGCTTAAGAATTGATCTTCAGATTAACGACTGTGATTTAATAATTAAACCCGATTAATAGATCCATTAATTTTTAAAAGATCCGCTATAAACTCGATTAATGATGTATTTTATTTTATTTGAAAACATTAGTGTAAAACAAATGGGTACTTCAGCTTTAATAGTATAGATAAATATAAAACATTATATAATATATATATATAATATGTGTATTTATATATTTGAGTTTATATCTAACAGACCAATTATTCAAATTATTATATTTTGGTCTGTTGGGCTTTTTCCTAAATCTTGTTGTTAAGCAAAGAAAACTTTATTAGAAAAAAATAAAATGCGAGAATCCTATGGACGGTGGTTACATTTCCTTCTTATTTTGAAAACCTGTCAAACAAGAACCTCTAATATCTCTTATTTTGCACTTTATGTTTATGTACTATATGTTTTTAGTTTCAAAAAAAAATATTAGACGGGTCGAGGCGAAGCGAAGTGAATAATTTACGAAGATTACAAAAAAAATTTGAATATTCGAAATTCCGAATACTAAAAATTTTACGAATCAAAGCAAATAACAAAATCAACTATTCGGTCGAAGCAAATCGAATCACGAATATCAAAAAATTTCCGAATATTCGTTTTGTGTCCAGGGCTAGTTTATTCCGATTTCAATCTTTATATTTTGTATGTTTTAAAAAGTTCATGTAATGTAATATAATTTTGAATTTTATGTACTGTTATATAATTTTAGTTTTTTGATTTTTTTTTTAAAAATTATATTTTAAAAATTAAGTATTTACTTTTTAGAACCTCTTATGGGGTTCACCATTGGACATAGAAAAATTAAACATTTTCTAAGAGTTTTACAACTTAAATTTAATCATTAAATTTTAAAAAAATTTGGCTAGAACCCCTAAATAAGCATCTCCCTTTGGAGATTGACTAAGAGACTAAGACCATGATTAACGGTGGGTCTTTAGAGGTTTCTTAGGTCTTTTATGGAATAAAATTAAATGATTAATGATGCAAAATGGTAAAAGATGTATCTTACTTAAGAGGTAAGCTTAAGCCTAAGAGACGAACACGTGTTAGTGTGTAAGTGGCCGAAGAAGAAGAAAAAAAAGGGTGAAAAACCAACACACGTTCTGGGCATTTGTATTTTTTCAGGAATTTGTATTTGTGGTTTTAAATATAAAATAACAAAACTAAAAACCAACACACGTTCTGGGCATTTGTACTTTACAAATACAATTATATGAAATTTGGTTTCAGAAATACAATTCACCTTCTTCCATATTCTACAAGTATAACCCTGTAAAAACAATCAAAACCAAATATTTTTAATATTTTTTTTTTAAGAATTCTAAATTAAGAGTCTACCAATAATCAATCTCAAAACTAAAAACTAAAATACAACTCTTATCTTTTACTTTTTCAATTTTACTAATAAACTAATACTAAGATTAAAACCTAAAAGCTTACCAATAATCATGCTCTAAGGGCATGGGCATCGCCCATTTGGTCCCAGACAAAAAAACAAACTAATTTTTTTTTAAAGATTTTTTCTTTAAAAAACAACAGAGAAGCAACTAATCGCAGGCCGTCATGTGTCAGTGGAGTCCGCGATTAGTGAAGAAAGAGAAGAAGGACAGTCCCGGTACGACCGCCATTTTCATTTTTTTTTTGATTTTTTTTGTTAGGGGACTGACATTGGTACAAGGATTCCCATGGCCTAAGGGCATGAGCATCAATGGGTTATCCCCCTGTCCCTCACGTTAAACGAGAAAAAAAAAAAACATAAAACATTAACGGGACGTATGTCCATTTTGGACGTCCCTTGCCATCGTATATTACTATTCGCGGCCCCCACTGACACGTGGCGGCCCGCCAATGGTTTTTTTTTTCTTTTTTTTTAAATCTGAAAAAAAAAATGTTGGTAGGACGTCCAACGGCTGCGTTTGCTCTAAGACTATGGGTAAATGGGTACCCGTGGTTTTTTTTTTCAACTTCATCATCTTAAACGATAATCAAAACACTAAAAACATAGTTTTTCTTCTTTCTCTTCCCTACGATAGATTCGACGCCTTCCTTCTTATCATCCATTCGGACATTGAATCAGAGAGTTCTTCTTGTCTTAGCTTGTTGAAACCCAAACTTTCAATTCCTACATCGAATCAGTGAGTATTGCTTTGTCCTCCATTGTGTTCGATTCCGAAATCAAACACAAACTCATCGATTTCATATGGGTCTTCTTTGTCCGCCATTGTTGGCCACAGATTGAGCTTTATATTGTCGATTTCGAAGTGGGTTTTGCGGATTTTGGTTAGTCTTCTCCTCTGGTCACTCTCTTATGTTGTTGCGTTTAAGTTAGATTTGGCTCCAACTGAATCATGTGTGTACTAATGTTGCTTTGTGTGTACTGAATCTTCCTTTTCTGAAATTCTTGTTCTTTTGTTGATTTTGCTTATGAATCTCCCTCTCTAGTTCTGTCTGCAACAGTTTAGTAAATTCGTTGGGATCAAAAGATGCTAGCTTTGGATGTGTAATTGTAGAATTAGAATTTATAACACCACTGTTTTTGCTTTGATTTGATTTTCTATATATCTCCATTACAATGCAATCTCTAGTTGTTCACACCTTTTGATTTAGAGTAAGTGTTTTAGATTTAGAGTTAGTGTTTTAAATGTAACAGGTAGCTTATGTGAAAAGAAGCTAACAGTGTCGCAAAGCCTAATTTCAATTTATGCCTAAGAAAAACGAAATGTCCAAACACATTTTTTTCAACTTTGGACATCAGATACCCTAGGCAATCATCACCAATGACACAAAGACAATGAGATCCGTTATAAAAAGACAATGAGTTAGTGTTTTATGTGTTGTCTGGTTTGTGTACGTACTTAGTCCACTAACTCATAGAATGTGTTGTTCTTTGAAGGTGTTGTTGTCTGGTTTGTGTACTTAGTTCACTAACTCATTTTGTTTGTAACTTCTGGTTCTTCTTCTAGTTTCATAAGTCACTCTAGTTGATTAAGCTTTTTTTGCAGCTTTAATTTGTTAAGCATGTTATGTGATCTCAACTGCTGTTTGTCTGTTCGGTTTTTGGAGCTTTTTTTGCAGATTCTAATTAGTTTCTTCAGTCACTCTTGTCTTTTTAGTTTCGTTTATGGTTTAATATCAGTTAAAGACTCTTGATTTTGATGTTTTGGTTTGTAACAGGACAGTGCAGCGATTGTTATAAAGCAACCAAAGAGATTTGAGGCAACCCTTTTCTCCTCTGGTTACTTCTTTTAAAACCCTTTTCTCCTCTTGTTTGTGTTGAGTGTTGACTAGTTTGTGTTGATGGCTTTTGAATCTTAGCTTTGGATCCGTTATAAACACAAGTCTGATTCTAGTTCATTTTTGGCATTAGAATTAGCTACTTATGATTTTTATCTTTGTTGGAGATTAGATAACTTTCGTAGCAGAATAAATGATCTATACTATTAAAAGGGGATCATTTTTTAAAAGTGTATCTGTTGGTGTAGGAATTAGCACCAACGACATACCGGCCTAAACCAAGAATGAATCGAATCGGACCAACGGAATCGGGGAATCCCGGTTTCGCATTTAAAGAAGATTTATGTTCATTCCTAAAATGGAAATGAGCGACTTTGTCTCGTTAGGGTTTCATAAACCCTAATCAAATATTTATGAGGATAATTTTTATAAATCTAGGGAATACGAGCATTTATTGTAACCCTAGATCTCTTGTATAAATAGAGAAGATGCCTCTAGGGCATCGAATAATCAATACAAAAAACCCTAGACCTTTGATTTATTGAGCAAAAACCTAACTTTATCCTAAAGAAATTGAGACCCCCTTTTCATGTGTGAATTCTTAATTCAACAATTGGCGCCGTCGGTGGGGACTCTTACACAAGAGTCTCTATGTTCATCTACCACTAAGAAAAACCGATTTGAAGATAACTAACAACCGATGATAAAAAAGGAAGAAATCTCAATCGAGACGTCTCTTTGCATGAAGCTTTCCCGGCGAAGTTCAACGAACTATGTTACCAAAAACCCATCCCTGGATTCCACTGAACGTCAGCTTTCCGTAAAGCCCAAGTTCGTCTCAATCGGAGCTTCCTGTTGAGAGATATCACCGCTTCTCTGCAGCAGACACAGATCTGTTTGTTTCCAACCAAACAGCTTTGGGACCGATTTCCCGGCTGAGTATAACGAACTAGATTACGTTCTACCTACTCACAGATTTCTATGAGAAAAAGCTTTCCACAGATCACGAGTTCGTCTCAATCGGAGCTATCTACTGAGAGATATCGACGTTTCTCTACAGCAGACGCAGTCTATCAACGCAGAATCGTTTGTTTCCAACCAATCAGCTACGGATCGATTTCCCAGCCGAGTATAAAGAACTAAATGAATTTCTACATATGCACGGATTTCTCAGAGAAAGAGCTTTCCAAAAAGTACAATTTTGCTGCGATTGGAGCTATATGTTGAAAGATATCAACGTTTCACTGCAGCAGATGCAGTATGTCAATACCGATCCATCTGTTTCCGATCAAACAGCTTCGGGACTGATCCCCCAGTCGATTCCAATGAATTAGGTTATGATAACCTATCCTATGGATTTCCACGAATGTTGGCTTTCCGGAAAATCAAACCTCGTCTCAATCGGAGATGTTTGCTCAGAGTTGTCACCATATCTCCGAAACAGAACCGGCCTGTTAAAACACTGATTCGTCATTATACAAACAGTTATATTCAAGTCTGATTTTCTGACGAAGTAGAACGAACTAGGTTACGAATAACCTATCTACAGATTGCCCTCAATGTCAGCTTTCCGAAAAGCCCAACCTCGACTGAATGTCGGCTCGGTGCTGAGAGTTATCACCTACCGTGTACAGCAGCTCCTCAGCCTACAGCTTATCAACAATTCACCTAACTAACAACTCGTCAACTCGTCAGCAAACTAGTTAACTCGCAGCTCGAGTCCAGGACTAATCTACCATCGATCAGGATGGAACCTGGGATCGATCTACATATCGTTCTAGAGCCTTGAGGTTTGTCTTTCTAGTGAAACCGACTTCGCTTCAATCGACACTGTCTACCCAAAGTTATCATCATATTTCAAGAACGGACACGTCTTGTCCAAAAATTCAGATCGCCCAACTTCGGGAGCAGTTTCCCGCCGATCCCGAAGGTATCTAGAGTTGATATACATATCATTTTGAAGCCCCAAAGCTCATCTTTCCAACAAGACCATTATCGCCTCAATCGACATTTTCTGGCGAGAGATATCATTTTTTGTTTGCAGCAGACGCAACCATGCACAAATCCGAACACACAGATTCATTATAATCAGATCATCCCACTTCTTGACTAGTTTCCCGATGATATCGAAGGAAGCTAGAGGCGATCTACGTGAAATTTTGAAGCCCCGAAGCTTATATTTCTATCAAGACCGATCTCACTTCAATCGGCGCTATCTGACGACAGTTATCATTGTTCGTATGCATCAGACGCAACCCTTCCGAACTCCAAAAATGCAGTTTCGGATCATCCAGCATCAAAATCAAATTCCCGATGAACCGGAAGGAACTTGAACTTGACCAAAGAATCTTTGAAAAGATCTTTCTACAAGGAGTCTAGTGCAATAAACGGATTCTCATTCCGAGTTAATCTCCATCTGCACATCGCTTTGGAAGTGGCTAGAATCTACAAAAATCTGAAAGAACGCCCCTTATCGCCTCAACTTAGAGGGCTCGTGGAAGACACATTCGACATCTGATGGAGACGGAATTTTACAGAGAGGTTCATGATATTACTAGATAGTGATTCAACGGTGGAATCGAAAAAGTAACGGTTCGTTGACAACTTATTCATGCGTGTCTGAGAGGAACTAACGAAGATCCTACATCGACAAGGGTCTAAGGTACAACCCACTCATTGTCTCCAAAACCAAAGATAAGTATTACTACCTATGAAATTAATAAGCATTGTTTGATAATACTTGCTTTATTACTCTTTTATACTATGCTCACACTTGATCTGAAAATTCTCGCTAACCGAGCTAATTAAAAGAGTTGAGCGAGACTTCGCCAAACAGTAGCTCTTGTAAACCTGTTTCTTAGCAGCACTCCTCGTAAGCCTGCTCTTCAGCAGCTCGCCTCGGAAGCTTGCCTTTCAGAACTTCTCCTCAGCTTGCTCTCATAGCTCTCCTCAGCTCGCTTCTCAGCTTGAGCTCACTTCTCAACTTTAGCTTACTTATCAGCTTCAGCTAACTTCTCAGCAGCTCGTCTTAGCTTTAGCTCTCTTTTCAGCAGCTTTCCCCAGCTCGCTCCCCAGCTCGCACCTCAACAGCTCTCTAGCAGTTCATTCCAGCTCGTTTCTTAGCAGTCTCAGCTTGCTTCACAGCAGCTCCCTTCAGCTCTTACAGCAGTTTCAGCTCGCATCTCAGCAGCTTCAACTCGCTTCTCTGCCGTTCTCATAAGCCTGCTTCTTAGCAGCCCTTGTCAATTATTACGTAGTTGCTATCTCAGGATATAGCCGAGCCATGCCTCGCATAAGAAAAAAATCGTGCCCTGTCTCGCATAACACAAAAGCCGAGCCATGCCTCGCAAAAAGGAAAAAAAAAAAATATGTTCGGGAATCCGAACTCAACACATCCTTATAATCACTGAACTACGGATGGCTTGATCCCTTTTCGGGTACGTAGGCAGTCCTTCATCGTATGCAGCAGCAACTATTAATAAAAGTAAAGTTAGCGTTCTTCTAGAACGTATTTCTACTTTATTCAAAACGAATCATTTGTCGACATCCTGGCCAGATGATCGACTTGCATCAGATGCATACAACTCTTTTAAGAGATTAAGCCGGACCCAGAGGATCATTGGATCGATTTCGCATACAACTCTTTTAAGAGATTAAGCCGAACCCAGAGGATCATTGGATCGATTTCGCATACAACTCTTTTACGGGATTAAGCCGAACCCAGAGGATCATTGGATCGATTTCGCATACAACTCTTTTACGGGATTAAGCCAACCCAGAGGATCATTGGATCGATTTTGCACCCGAGTTCTAGTCCGAACGGAATCATTAGCCGAACCTAGAGTTTTAATTCGCAGTCCGCTTCCGACCTAGACAAAGGGGTAAGCCGAGCCCAGAGTTTCCTCTCGCTCCCCGCACAAGCACACTACTGCTTGGGATAGAACACCCATTTACGGAGCCCAGAGTTTTTCTCCACCTTATGTCGCTCGTTTGACCGCGAGGTGTAAGCCGGGAGACGTCCTGCCGCTCGTTGAGTTCCAAATAAATCGAGTAAACCAAAATAATAACTTTATTCAAAGCACCGAATGGGCAATTTCTTGGCACAACTCGCCATAGAAACAAAAAATAAAACACTACTCCGAAAGAGGCATACTTCCATTTTTTCCAAAGAAATGAAAGGGAAACTCGACATAAATCGAAAAAGTTTCAAAAGAATATTACAAAAGCCCCCTGCCCATTCAAGTTCAACAAAAAGAGAAAGAAAACCAAGGAAGCTCAAACAGTCTCCGCGCCGACATCGACATCAGGATTGGCCAGCTCGCAATGGGGGTCAGAAGTACCGTCCGAAGTCCAAAGATTGGCCTGGAAAACCGGAGCATTTGATCCGTGCTGATCCCGGATAGAGCTCAGAGCAGAATCTTCGGACCAAGCTGATCTGAAGACATGTTCAGATCAGCGGACCCAGAACGAGGTAGTCAAGCGCGTCAACGACTTTTTGACACTCGACACTCAATGCCTTGATATTGGCAATCTCCACCTCGGGAATCTGGGCATGGCATTATGTGATAAGCCGATCCACCGTAGCCTCGACTCCGAGAGCCTGGTTCAGCAAATCTTCCTTCGGGCGAACAACGACCTCCTGCTCAGTCATGAACGCCTTCACTCGGTCAAAACGGTCCTGAGCCTTTTTCCTGGTACGCTCGACCTGAGCTTGACGATCCAATCGAAGTAGCCAAAGCTCGGAGTCGGCAAATTCCTCCCTTCGATGATCATAAAGAGGTCGGAGCTTGTTCACGTATATCCCAATCGCGGCAAAACGCTCCTCGGCATCCAGGCGATCAAGGTTGGAAGGCTGCCCGACCTTCAAAACATTAGAGACGACGACGTTATTCTCACCATCCCGAGCCGGTTGGCGCTAGAAGGAGGGGGGTAGAGCAAAATTTTACCTTTTTTATGAAGAAGCAGAAATGAAGAAAATAGAAGCGAAGATCTGATATTTATAGAAGCTGCTGGGCGGCAAACCTAAGAAAAGTAATGATGACCTAGGTGACGCTTCGACGTCCGACATACACGCCGCTTCCCGAATGAGCGACATGTGGCAATCCAAACAAGATAGGCGACCGTTCGCTTCAAATTTAATTCGGTTATTCTTAGCTTAGGTCAGGTATAACCTAAAGTTCCATAACTCGAATGAATATTCGACCCATCGAACTGGGGGGGACTTATTGTTGGTGTAGGAATTAGCACCAACGACATACCGGCCTAAACCAAGAATGAATCGAATCGGACCAACGGAATCGGGGAATCCCGGTTTCGCATTTAAAGAAGATTTATGTTCATTCCTAAAATGGAAATGGGCGACTTTGTCTCGTTAGGGTTTCATAAACCCTAATCAAATATTTATGAGGATATTTTTTATAAATCTAGGGAATACAAGCATTTATTGTAACCCTAGATCTCTTGTATAAATAGAGAAGATGCCTCTTTTCTAGGGCATCGAATAATCAATACAAAAAACCCTAGATCTTTGATCTATTGAGCAAAAACCTAACTTTATCCTAAAGAAATTGAGACCCCCTTTTCATGTGTGAATTCTTAATTCAACAGTATCCAAACAGATTAAATAGAAAAAATGAAATAAAATGTAATCCTAAACCTATAGCCAAACAAAATTAATGACAGATTTTCAAATGAAAAAATATGCTTTAAAATAAATAAAAAATCAAACTAATAACTAACCAATATTCATGGAAATCATAATAAACTAGGTTTTAACCCGCGGTACACCGCGGGACTATTGTTTTAACTTAGATTATTAAATTTTAGATTAGATGTGTTTATTTTGTTTATTTTTTTATTGTTTAAGATTGTATAACTGTTAATTTGCTAGACATATTATGTAACTAAAATTTTAAAATATAAGTTGTATATGCTAATTATTATCAATATTTTTTTGTATTTAAGATTGTACAATTGTATTTTGATTGTTAATTATATGATTTAACCCGTGGAATACCACATGACGATTTTTTTTTACACAATCGTAATTTATTCTACTTAAATAAATATGACTAATATTCAAAATAATAAAATGGTGATGACGTAACATTTTTGTCTAACTTATCTAATTTCAGACTAAAATATTTTTTGTGTCGACAACCCACAAAAAAATGTAATTATATTTTTTTTTAAACTAACCCACTCTATCACATGATCCGCGAGCGCATTTAAATTTTCTTATAGATTTTTTTAATATTTTAATATTTCAAATTCTTGTTGAAAAGCATTTCATGGGATATTAATAATTTTTATAAATATTTTTTTATAAATTCATTTAAAGTATGGTTTAAACTAATTTTGATAGATAAAAACTTTGTTTAAAGCTTGAATATATATTAATGTAGAGAATGCCCCGTAAAAACTATATAATCATATATATGTAAATTTTAACCCGTTATATCATATATACTGGAAGTATTTAAATTTCTTTAAGATTACTTCTACAGTTCTACTTCATATAAATTCTAACTTATTAAAAAAATTTCTGATGATATATCAGTATTGTCTAACGCGTTTATTGGTATTACTTCTACTTGACCTTCTAATGGACTGTTTTTTTTTTTTTTTGTATTTGGGTTGCATTTTTTCTAATATTTTTATTCAATAAAAAACAGTGTAAAAAGGAAAAAAAATTGTGAAAGTGGATTCCTTTGAAACATCCACCTGACTAAAGGAAACAATTCATAAAGGAAAGTCTTCGTCTAAGTCCAAATCGTTTACAGGTAAGAAACTTCAAATCTTCTCAACTTTCATTAAATATTGTATTTTATGATCTTATTGTAATAGATTTGTTTTAAAATCGAATAATGGTTTTTCTTTTTTCTCAAGCTTGATTCAAACTTTTCCATTATATGATAGTAATAAAGCTTTTGTGTAGTGTTTATCGTTTTCGTTTTGGTGTTATATGATAGTAAAATGAACTATTTATAGAGTGACAATGAGCGTTTAAAGATAAGCATGATGAGTAAGTAGGTAATATCTTTGGAGATTTCACAATTTCGGAAGGTGTCAGTAGATTTTAGTTAGGATTTTGTAGAATATGCTAGTATAGAATTAAAATTTTGCCATATTTATTGATTGTGAAATATTCAATAAGATATTATTGAATGCGACTTTTTTTTATTGATAGTAGAAACTCGGAAGAAACAAAATTTGAAAGGGAAGCTGCGAAATCAGTTAGTATAAAATTTAGTATTTTTTGGTAATTAATACTTAAGCGTATATGATTATATGGTATTAAAAAACTTTTGTTTCTGTTTTCAAAAGTATTTGACTGCTGTTTTATTTTTCTGCAGAAGAATCGGAACTCTTATAAAAATTGTTCCACCATTTTAGTAAATTTATAGTTTTTTTTCTCGATTTTATGGGAATAAAATTAATTGATTAGATCGATTTTAGATGTTTTACTTATTGAGTGTTGTGCAATTTTGTAGGGATTAACATTGTAAATAAAAATTTAAATAAGTAAAATTATATGGGTAGAACACAAAAGATACTTCAAAAATGTTAATATAGATTGTTACCTTAAAATGTGGCCTATTAAATTCAAAAAAAAATTCAGATTATATAATGCTTTAAACGTTTATTTTACCTAATTTAAACTAATACAATTCAAAACATTTTAATTTAAAAATATTTTGAAACTTTTAAAATAAACTGATATGTATAGTATTTTAAATTGTGTATATGTAAACAGATTAAATTAGGTAAATAAACGTTTAAAATAAATTAGGTCCAAGGAAAGATTATAATACTATAAATATCTAAATTCTATAGAAGTTTAAGTATTATTAATATTTACTCCTTTAAAAGGTTTTAAAATATTATAAATATTTAAACTCAATTAAAAAATTTTAATTTTAAACATTATTAAATTATATATTAAATTTTTCAAATATCTTGAAGACAGCAAAATATATTTTCAACTGAAATAAATTTGCTTTAAAATATATATATAAAATATCAAAACTAATAACTAACTCAGATTCATGGAAATCATAATAAATCCGTTACCATAAAATGAGGCCTATTAAATTAGAAATTGTGTAGTTTGGATGCTTATTAAGTGAAATCAATCAAATGAAACATATTTTAAACATTACCCAATTCACCTAAAATCGAATGAATTGATATACAAATTTTAAAGCTTGGATGCTTATTAAGTGAAACTTTCTGCTCACTCAGATTTAAATCCATTATGATCATATGTATACTATGATTTTGAATCATCTATACTATTAATTGGGGAGCATTATTTGTCTTTGTAGCCAAACAAACTTGAAAAATATATATTACAAAATATACAATCTCAAACCTATAACCAAACACACTAAAAGACAGCAAAAAATAAAAAAATAAATAAAAAATAAAAAACAAAAACTATCTATATTTATGGAAATCATTTTAATTTTGTTACCATAAAAAATGGACAATTAAATTCGAAATTAAACATATGCAAACAAATTTAATATTAGTTATATATTTTAGAGTATTTTTTGAAAATTATAATTCATATTTAAGAAAAATATAGATGAAAAATATGTTTGATTATAAAAATACATATCATAAAATGTGGAGAAATATACGACATAATTAATTATATCATCAAATTTTAAAAAATATAATCTTAAAAAAATAGTTAAAAATATTTGAATAAAAATCTTAATTAAATCAATAATTAAAAATTTGTTGGCTAAAATCATGCAAAAATTATATATCACACAAAATCTCTTATTTTCATATAAAATCTCTTCTTTTCACATAAAATATTCATATTGAAAAAAGCAATCTCGAAAATATAGCACAAAAATAAAAGAATTTAAAATATATTGATTAGATATGTGATATTTCCGTTTTTCCTTTTAAAAACCAATAATCCAATTTTTTTTTAAATCATTCAGAAATACAGAATTAATTCAATCACCCTAATAACTAGCACTTAACATAACAAATCGACAAGAAGAAAAATATTTAGTTCGATTATTATTTTTCCTAACTATAATGCAATTTCAAATCTACAAACTATCCAAAAATAAAAAATAAAATTTTAATTACATCGTAATAGTTTGATCGTTATAAATTCAAGATTTCATATATTTTGGTATCTCATTAACTACTAAATTAAAACTAAATAATAAGTGGATATATCAAATTTAAATAATTATTATGTCTTATTAGCAATTTCTAAATAATAAATGGATTATATTTTTAAGATTTAATTTCTACGTCTTTTAAGTAAGTTTCGAAAAGAAAAAACAATCAAGTAGTTAAGAACAAAATCGTTAACTATCTAACTGAAACCAAACTAAATGTCAAACATGTATGAATCCAAACTATAAATGATATACTATAAATATCTAAAAACATTATCCCACATATATATAGGTACAATTGATATAATTATATTCAAAATAATATAAAGACTTAAAATAATTTATTCAGCAAAAAGGGCTGATTTCATTATTTTGAATATATATGTCACTAATCAAAATTTTAATTGTATAAAATGAATTATATTTTTCAACCGTATTATAAATAAATATCATATCTAGCCAAAATAATAAAACTTGAATTATTTTATTGCATTAAACACATTATTTTATTTTTAATCAAATCAACACATGATTTTGTGATCACTTTCTGCAAAATAATTTTAATCTTACGCAACAAGAGTAAAAATATTATACAAGATGGGAACGGGATGGAAAGAAGTCCGAACGGAATGTAAGCATAGATTTTCATACAAAAGTCTTAGAGCATGTTACAATTAAAATTAATTAACGCTTGCAGTTTTATATGTAATTTTGTTTACATCATCTAGCATAAAAATGTTCAAAGTGAAAGTTAAAAAATCTTAAAGTATGTTCAATAATAGTTAAAATATTTAAAACAAAAAACATAACCAATATGGATGAACTAAATATATAATAATAAGAATAAAGAAGTCAATTATTTTTGTAATTCATTACTATATTATATCGTATATAAAGATACTCACATACAGTTCCAGTGAAACAAACAAAACCCTGAGAGCTAAGTCAGCAAACTACAATAAACCCATGAATTAAAAAAAATAGAAATACCTGAATCTGTAGGAAACAAAAAAGGCTAAACTTGAATATTTGAATTGAAGAAAGTAATGGGAAATAAAGATGAAATTGAACCATCAATAACATTAAAAATTGAACAAGGATTGTGTATGCTCGGATTAGAGACAGTGCCTTGTGAATGAAAATGGTGGGAGCATGTGACTTAGATTTATAATTAGAGTTTTATTAATGTGGAAAATAAATATTTAAACGAGGAATACGAGTATTCCGTCTAGATCTCTTACCAAGTTTCTTATAATAAACATTAGCAAATGATTATGTTTTTAAAAAGAAACGATTGTGGGACAGAAATATATGATGTATAGAGGACGATACGGACAGGACGGGTCCGAACGGGACATGACGAGACGGGTCGGGACGGGACGGGTTGGGACGAAACAGGAAGGGACAGGTCGGGACGAGACGGAAAGGGACGGGACGGGTTTCTCATTCCAAACTATGCGTAAAATAATTCAAACTAAAGCCAAATCCAAATCCGAGTTAACATCTCTAAGCAAACAGTTAGAAATGTTTTGATTATTTTAAAAAATAAACACGTAATATCATTTAACAATTTCATTTAAATTATTTTAAAACTATATTAAGTAAACAATATCTATATTTTACAACTGTATGCCTATGTATAGTTTTTCAAATAAACTTATATAACAAACTTTTATCAAAATTGTATTTACATAAAAAATTGTAGTTTTGCCAAAATAACCCCGCACGTACGTGCGGGTCCATCATTAGTTGTTTTTTAAAAACAGCTTTACTGTTTTAGTTTTTTTTTTGGTGAGGAGCTTTACTGTTTTAGTTTTATCCATATTTAAAGATTATGTAAATTAATTTCAAAACTTTTTTTCCATACTTCAGGATTAAATAAATTAGTATATTAAATTTCTTTATAAATTGATTATCCATATCTGATTTAATACTATAAAATTTCATTAAAATTTTAATATTAAATAACGTTAATATATTTGCTCATGTACACTTCACAAAGTAAAAAAAATTGCATGACAATTAAAGAAGCCAAAAAAAACGTTAATGGCATGACATGTAATTAAACACAAGTTTAAGGGTTTTTTTTTTCTTTTTTTTCAATAGGCTGAAAAAGTGAAAGCGAAGAAAAGGCAGTCATATCTTCTGGTCGTCGGAAGCCATGGCTTCTCTTCTCAGGCCAACTCCAATACTCTCTACACCTCACAAGCTCACTCACTCTCATCTCCACACCTATACTCTCTCTCTCCCATTCAAAATCCCAACTCAGAGAAACCCACATAATCAATTTCTCAATCCATGTCGTTCCTCATCAACACCACCGTCACAGCAAAAGGCTTCACAGAGGAAGAGAACTAGGTACAGGAAACAGTACCCAGGAGAAAACATTGGGATAACTGAGGAAATGAGATTCGTAGCTATGAGATTACGCAATGTTAGTGGAAAAAAATTGAATCTTTCTGGTGATAATACTGAAAACGAAGAAGAATATGAAGACGATGATGATGAAGTAAAGGGAGAGACTTGGAGGCCGAGTGAAGAAGGGTTTCTTAAGTACTTAGTTGATAGCAAGCTTGTCTTTGATACTATTGAACGAATTGTTGACGAATCTGAGAATGTTTCATGTAAGAAAAATTCTCTCTTTTGGACTAATTTTATTTTCAAAGTTAGATTTCTGAGTCTTAGGCATGGTAGAATACTTTGTTGATGATTTGGGTTTATGGGTTTATGCAAATGTTCTTATGCTTACTTCAGAACAGGATTATGCTTTGTTAATATTTTGGGTTTATGAGAAGTTCTTGTATGCTTTTGACATAATTTCACTTTCAAGAGTAGAACATTGACATTCCCTAGAGGCTTAGGCATGGTTTATGATTATGTGGACAGTTTTGTGATTTGCTAATGATTTGGGTTTATGGCTTTGTGCTTACTTGAGGAGAACAGGATTATGATTTGTTAATGATTTAGGTTTAGGAGATGTATCTTGGGATTATGGCTTTTTTTTTTTATTTGTTAATGATTTGTGTTTATGTGTTTGGTAAACGTGCAGATGCTTACTTCAGGAGAACAGGATTAGAGAGATGTGAAAGTCTTGAGAAGGATCTACAATGGTTTAGAGGACAAGATTTGGTTATACCAGAACCAAGTAACATTGGAGTTTCTTATGCAAAGTATTTGGAAGAACAAGCAGGAGAAAGTGCACCTTTGTTTCTTTCTCATTTCTACAGTATCTACTTTTCGCACATTGCTGGTGGTCAAGTTATTGTAAAAAAGGTTAGTTTCTGTGATAAGTGTTCATGGAGTAGTAACATAGAGGAGTTTTTCAACTGCATAAGGTCATATCTAGCATGATTAATGGATAACAGCTAGTTTGATAGAGTTAAAGATTAGTAGAAATATAAGTCGATTCAAGAGAGTTGGGGTTAGAAAGATTTTTTTGGGTTATGGTGGGTATGAGAGGGTTGCGAGAAGCATGAGTGCATGACAATGAGAATGGGAGAATCTGAGAAGATTTATCTTCTTCTTCATTAGACTCATCTTAAAATCACAAAAATGTATCAAATAGAACCGTAATAAAGAAACAATGAGATCCTGAACCAGTAGTTTGTTAAAGCTTGCCTCAAAAGAACTTGTTAACTGACTATTAGTTAAGCAATAGCTGAACTATGCTTTGCCTTTATTTTTAAGATGTATCATAGTCGTTCGTTCTTTTTGTTGGTTTTGTTGCATAAACAAATAGATACATGTTCTGGTTCATACTTTTGTCAATATCCCATGATTTAGACTGTCACAATTGCCTGGTCACCCTTCTATATGTGCGGTTTTCAAATGTAACTGATCAATTGATTCATTAAGGTATCTGAGAAGCTTCTGGAAGGAAAGGAGATGGAGTTCAATAGGTGGGAAGGAGATGCACAAGACTTACTTAAAGGCGTCCGTGAGAAGCTTAACGTGCTTGGAGAGGTGAGATTGTCTACAAAATTTTTAATTCTTCATTCCTCCATTTGCTAAAACCAAGGTTCTCACAAATGCTTGTGATCTTATCTGACGTGATGCTTTTGGAAATGAAGCACTGGACTCGGGACGAGAAAAATAAATGCTTGAAGGAAACAGCAAAGGCATTTAAGTCTATGGGGCAGATAATTCGCTTGATCATCTTGTAAAAATCTTGATTTAAATGTTAACGGATCCCAGCACCAGACCTGTGTTCACGATGGTAAGTCTGGAATCATTTCAAAACTTTCATTTGTTCACTGTCGTCTATTCACTGTAAAGCATTGCTCCAATTGGCTTACCATAGGCATTGTGTTCTCGCTACTTCAGGTCAGTGCTGGAATTGAAGTTGATGAACACCAGCCTCCATGGCTGAATGAGCCACCTTGTGTTCTTTGCTGGTCTAAGTCAGCTGTAAAGAGAAGCCAAATTGCTAGTTGTAAAATGTAGCCATCGTCTGAGGAATGTTTGATGAAATATTGTTGTTCCTTAGTTTTAAACAAACAAATTATATTAGAATTTTGGTTTAACAGGGTTGATCGGGTTGCGTTGTTCTGTTTGAGAAAAATTGGTTTAAAAAAAATCCCAACAAATTGACCCGAATTAAAATTCGGTTTGGTTCGAGTTGGTTCAGATGTCAATTTATTCAGGTAGGTTTTAGGCAATTAAATCTGATCTGTAAAAAAAAAAAAACTGAATTGTTTTTATTCGGTTAATTTGAAACGAAATAGACCAAAATGAAAAATATGGCTCAACTAACAAATTTAGATTACAAATATATATAGAGTTAATTACATGATCGGTATTTTTTTTATAGGTATTGTCTAATGCAGCATTTTTCTCTGTGCTTACTGATTTAAGCATTTCTAACTATTGTCAAATGACATGTTTAACCTCTCTCAACCTATAGTTTACTTTCGTATTTAAAAAAAAAAACTTTTTTAAATTTAAATTCTTTCTTCCTGATTTTTTCTCTCTCCGCCATTGATGCTGCTCTTCTACATCAATGTAGTTAACAAGTGAATTTTGAACTCTTCTCTCTGTCTAACCAATTTCATTTCTCTCTCCCTCTATCAAAATCCGACTTCGTTTTCTCTATTATGTACAATTGTAGGCAGCAATCTAGAATTGCACATCTAGATTCTCGGTTTTCATCTAAGAAGATATTCAATCCGATCTCGTCTCTTCCGTTTTTAATCGTCAAGTTGCTGGTACTAGTAAAGGTATTACGGCGATTTTGATTTCGATAGGTTGGTTGGATTTTGTTGTTGGTCACTATATGTTGTTGCTTTATTCCAATTGTTACTGTTCTCGTGGTTCTTAGGTTCAATCGGAAAGCATGTCTTCCTCTCCCACTCAATCTAGTACTTCAGTGTCACCGGGTAAAACTTTCAACGATATCTCGGGTTTTACATTTGGTATGGGTTAAATATGTGATTACTTTAGTCCTGATTGTGTTGCTTCCTCGTTTGTTGATTTTTTGCGAAATGTTCTTGCAAGTGTGGTTCATTGCTTTCAGTTTCATCCGGCTTTGTCCCTTAGGGTTACCATTGCTCGTTCATATGAAAATTTTAGCTGCTTGGTTGTTCTCTTTGGTTTGTCTAGTTTATCTGCAATAAACCTCACTTGTTTCATTATCTTTGGGTTCTATCTTTGTGTGGCCCTTAGGGTTTAGTTTCCTTCTTCTTTCATCCTACTATCTTTTACTCTAAGAGTTTACATACTTGGTAATTCGTTATTCTCCCTGCTTGCTCATTTTGCTTGCTTCCATATGTGTAGGGGCCTTAGCATCTCATTTAGTATCTTGTTGCATTACATATCTCATGTTTCTGTTATTTTTGTGGTTTATGTGTAATCTATCTTCCTTATTCATTATGTTTGGGTTGCTTCCTTGGTTGACATGTTTTTATGCTCAGTGTCAAAGCAAGTTTTACTTCATTGCTTCTTCTCTGTTATTTCTATGCCAATGTGTGTTTTATGTAGCTTTCAGTTTCATCCGGCTTTGTCCTTTATGGTTTAGTTGCTTCTTAATCTGAAGATTTTACTTGCTTCGATGTTCTCTATGGTTATCTGCAATATACCTGACTTGTTTCATTATGTTTGGGCTACTTATTCCATTACGTTTGGGTTCTATCTTCCTGTGACACTTAGGCTTTAGTTTCCTTCTTTGATCACTCGTATTGTTTCTCTTGTATATAATTCCTCACCTTTGGTACTCCTTAATCTGAACATTTTACTTGCTTGGTTGTTCTCTTTGGTTATATGCAATTTACCTGACTTGTTTCATTATGTTTGGGCTACTTGTTCCATTACGTTTGGGTTCTATCTTCCTGTGGCCCTTAGGGTTTAGTTTCCTTCTTCTTTGACCCTATTGGTTCTCTTGTGCATAGTTCCTTACCTTTGAAAATCAAATTTCTTGTGTTGCTTCCTTGGTTGACATGCTTTTATGCTCAGTGTCCAAGCCAGTTTTACTTCATTGCTTCTTCTATGTCGTTTCTATGCCAATGTGTGTTCTATGTAGCTTTTGGTTTCATCTGGCTTTGTTCTTTATGGTTTAGTTGCTTGGTTGTTCTCTTTGGTTTTCTAGTTTATTCGCAATATAGCTGACTTGTTTCATTATGTTTGGGTTACTTATTCGATTACGTTTGGACTCCATCCTCCAGTGGCCCTTAGGGTTTAGTTTCATTCTCCTTTCATCGTACTTCATGTTTCTGCTACTTTATATCTTTGTATCTGTGATATTTGTGGTTTATGTTTAATCTACCTTCTTTATTCATTATGTTTGGGTTGCTTATTATATTTGTGATAATGTGGCTTATACTTGTTTCATTATGTTTGTGATATTTGACTTTAGTCCTCTTTTGGCCTTATTATATGTCTTCTATATGCTATATTCACGACATAACTTAAATTTTGGTTTATTGTTGTCTACTCCAGTTGACCTGCCTAAAAGGACATTTGCTGTTGATTGTTATCCAGGTCATGTGGTTCAAATTAACTCATATTCGAGACCTCGTTACCTAATAGACATTTTACATATACTTGCTGGATTGCCTGAGCTACAAACGTTGTTGTCTTCTCCTCTTAGTGCACTTTTCTCGTTGCTGGTTCGATATTGCTCTCTCTTTGGCCAATTAGTACATCAAATGTTATGTAGACAGCTTTGTACTCCTAACAGTGACGCAATGTGGTTTGTTTATCGTGGCCAACCTTTATGTTTCTCTCTCCTGGAATTTGTACAATTGACTAGTCTTTCATGTGCGCCTTCTCTTCCGACAGCAGAGCTAGTGGCTGCAACTACTCATTTTGACAGTTTTGCTCCATACTGGTATACCCTTATTGGCCGCACATTGGGGAGGAGACCGTTGAGGATCTGGTCACCATGTTGAAGAGTGAACCAAGCATGCCAGCTTGGCGTAAGTTTAGACTCGCGTTAGTTGTTATTGTTGAAGGAATCCTACTGTGCAGAACGCAGCTAGTCAAACCATTAGTAGAAGTTGTTGAGATGGTGAAAAGTGTCGATTTTTTCCTTCGCTACCCTTGGGGCCGCCATTCATTCAAACGCTTGATAAGGCCTATCTTATAAAAAACCTCAAGCAATCATCACTCACTGTTCATGGGTTCCCTCTTCCCATTCAGCTCCTTGCTTTCAGATCTATCCCGTTGTTAACCAAGTTTTTGCGTCATAGTGAAGATCAGTCAACGTTCCTTGACTAGACTGTTACATATCTACGAACATGCAAGTTGTTCCATACTTCCAATATATTGTCTATTGAGAAGTTCTTTGAGAATTGTGATACTGCTTTCCCAAACACTCTCAATATGCATCTTTGATCAACATAGACATATATAAGCGTTCTTTGATCAGACCTTGTTTGGTGGAAATAGAAGAGTCTTTTTATAGCATATATGGAGATGGTGTTTTGCATATGGTCTTTGTCTTTGAACAGTCGGCCAATATAGATTGAATCTTCTTCAGCGGATACAGTTCCAGAACCGTCCGTCTTGGTCAAGTCAATCACATCATCAAAGACTGGTTCTACATCCTCAGCTTGCATACCCTGCTCATAGTTAATCTCGTCACTGAAGGTTGGCCTAGCAGCACTCTCTCTTCTTCCAGTAGTAACATAAGATAGAACCTTATCACCAACATCTACATGTCTCCCATTTGGCCCTACTTGAACCAAAGAATACGCTACCAAACCCTCATTAACACCTGGGATCAATGGCGTACACAGGATTTAATTTTGTCCAAGTCAAATAGCTATAAAAATATGTAATAAGCCATACTAAACTAGTTGCAAATATATAAAATCCCATGAAACTAACCAAACAAATTAAGTTTAGGAAGGTCAGCTGACCTGCCTTTGCAACACATAGGTCCGCCACTCCCTGGGATCCTATAAAGAGAGTATAAATACTCTAAGCTATGTAAGGGGAACAGTAGTTGTTTTGATACTTATAAAAACAGAGAAAGCTTTTCTCAATTGAAGTCTTTGAATTCATCTTTCTTTTGATCCATCCCTATATTAGTAAAAGAGAAGTACAAAAAGTGCTTTCTGGTCGGGTCAATTTTAAAAAATTACCCAAAATTTGTAATTGGATCTTTTAAAGTTGGATAGATTAATGGATTTGGATACATACACCGGATACTTTCCAAATCTAATTTTAGAATTGTATTATATCCATAATTAATTATAGGATTTACTAATATTTCTCTAACTAATTTAATACAATCTATTTAAAAAATATTATTCTTATTTCACTTTTATTCGATATTATTTTTTAATTTATAATATTATACTATATAATATAAATATTTAATTGAAATTTAACTTTTTTTTGCATATGTGCAATTTGAATTTTTCAAAAGGGACATATAATACTCAACTACACTCGATAAAATATTTTGGACAATGGTTTAAAATCATTATAAGTATGACCAATATTAAAACCATTGTTACATGAGCATATTTAAAATTTCAAATAGTTTCAAAATATTATAAATAAAAGGTTCAAATATATAAAACTTTTAGAATTTAAAGTACTGAAATATTTTTTGAAGACATAAATGTAATTTGGAGACATACTTTTTATTGATAAAATATATTATATATCAAACTATGTAAATTTTAGATAATTCACGGGTAGTTTGTTAAAATCACAATTATAATGATAAAGCGAGTTACGAATAAAGTTTTTTACGAAATAAATTAAGTTACGGGTTGGACTTTCAAAAAATATATTGTAAATATGTAATTTTACGTATATTCGTACTTTTACTACAAAAATAGTAAAAATGAATAATTTATCGACAAATATTATTTCGTGTTGCTAAATTTTCACCGTGTTTTTAGTTGTATCAAAACTCAGTATATGATTATTTACTCGCTTTTTCCTTTATTATTTTATTTAAACTTATTATACAAATATATGATTTACCGTAATCGACTGCACTCTAACAAAATTAAAATGTAACATATTCTAATCCGTTAAAAGTTATATATATGTAATTATTTCCTCCGCGCTGTAGCGCGGGTCCGAATCTAGTTGATACATAAGTAAGTTGAAATCCGAGCAACGTTTAGTAACTCTTGATCCATTGATACTCGAGTAGCTGATCGTGTTTATCCCCTACATTAACTATAGTTACCTATATATATGCAATGAATTTAATATGAAAATACACATTTATGTAAATTGAATTGGTCCTATCAAAGATCTAATTTAAGAATCCGGATTAAAAATTTGAAATTGATCCGACCCAAAGTACAAATGCCGTTCTCTTTTAATATATTAGGGATGTCTTCCGACTTGGTTTTCCTTTTCAATAGTTGGATTTTTTGTTTTCTGGGTTAGCTAGTTTTGTTTTGGGCTAAGTCCCGCTTACAATCAATTGTTCTAATCGTTGGTTTAACTGTCCTCAAAAGATTAGAATAATATCTTCACTGAAAATATCTTCGTTTCTTTATGAAGTTGACCTTTCTCTATGAAGTCTAGGTCATAAGCGGAGCTTATATCTTTGAGCTTTGAGTTGAGATGAGATGATAGAAGATGATGAAGATCTGAAAATTTTCATCTATTAATCACAGTATGCGACGGTCCCAATATGTTTATTGACGGTTAAATCTGTAGAAGGATCTTTCAAGTGGGTTTTGAAGACTCTAGTTGATTTGATTACTGGATTAAGGATCTAAAAAGAAGATCAGCTCCAGTGGTGAAAGTGATGATGATTTGGATGAAAAGGTGGAGCTTTTGTCGGAAGTCGGTGAGCTTTAATCGATTCTGCTCTCCTATCAAATTAGAATCATCAACGCGTCTTACATGTGTTAATTGGACTTATACTCATGTAACAAAAAGATATAATGTTTCTTTAAGCTTCATATTAATATTGAAGTCCAGTGATGTTGGGCTTCGAAACCACTTAGACCATCCACAATAGGAGAGACCCATTGTGGGTTCTTTACAATATTTATAATATAAATTTTGAAAAATTTGAGATGAAGAGTTTGTGATGGGGTTTTTAAATTTATTGTGTTACAATGGTAAGAACCTTTAGGTTCTTAAATTTTTTTTTTAATAATTTAATTATTAACAAAAATAAATGATTGCATTTTATTACTTCTTAAATAAACATGACTTTTAAAAAAACATTACATAGAAGCAAATATAAAAACAATAAGCATACAAGAAACAAATTTCTAAACAAAGGATATCCAATCTCTCATTTTGGTAGAAGTCAGTATGACAATATCTATAAACAATAAATTAAAATAAATTTCTCTTTTGAAATATCTTATTAGTAAATGGATATTAGGTTTTTTAAAAATGCCATAATCTTAATAAGAAATTAAAAGATTGAAAAACTATATTGGTTTGGTTCAACAATGATAGATCAGTTAATGAACACAGTAATGCTTGCCATAAAAACCAATTATACCATGGTGGACCGTGAAGTGTACTAGTAGTTGTTTAAAAAAATTTTGTCGTTTGAGTTTTTTTTTTTTTTTTACTTTGGCCACTCACATGCCGCCACATCACCGCCTCTTCAGCCAACAAAATTCTCTCTAATGAGAGCCTTTCTATTGAGAGTTCTCTCTATTAACCCATATTTTGATTTATTTTGTATGTCTTAAATATAAAGAACCTATGTTAAAAACCCTTGTTGTGGTTGCCCTTATATTTCCCATGATAAGTTTTCCATATAAATGGAGGTAGATTTATTTTTACTTGGTTAACTATTTCTTGCAAGGAGTTTTCGAAAAACGGATGAATGTCACTAATATATGTCTTATTCCCAAGACGGAAAGACTAATATGAATGTCGGAACTAAGTCCCATTAGTCTTTTGTAATGTTGAGTATAAATTATATCCAAGGTATTATATCCAAGATTAAAAATAGTTTTACCAAGTCTTATTTCGGAAACAAATTCAGCGTTTGTGCAGGTATATTTCAGATGTTATAAAATTAAATCCAAGGTCTTATCTCAAAAGTATTGTTATTGCCTTCATGGTCTTCGAACAAATCCGTCATGGAAAGGAAAGTTTATGGTTATAAAAACAAATATGTTTAAGGCATACGAAGATGGGCTTTTTTGACAAATGGATTCCATGGATGATGTGATGCATAAATTTTGTCTAGTATTTGGTGCTTCTAAATGGACAACCTTGGGTTTGATTGTACCTGTGAGATGGTAAGGTAAGAGGATCCTTGTCTTCCTATTTATTTACTTTATGTACAGATACTAGGATTTACCCCGTGGTACACCACGGGTCTATAATTTAATAGATTTGTTTTATTTATTATTTTCGTAATTTGTTTATATACTCTAGTTTTATACGTGTTTATATCATTTTATAATTTTATGAGTTTGTATATGTGGTCAATCCGCGATACCCTTCCCACCAAAAAAAACCTGCGATACACCGCGGGAAAATTTGTTGTAAATAAAAATTTATATTTTAACTTAACCCGTAAAACAAAATTAATATTTATTTACAATATTATTATATTTTAAATATTTTTAGAAATTTTTGTATAGTTTAAATATTTTTAATATTTTTAATATTCTATAAAACTTTAAAATTTTAATTGGATACATGAGAAATCAAAGTTTATGTTCATTTGTAGTTGTGAACATATTAGTACTATTTATAATGATTTTGAACTATTATCTAAATTTTTTTACCTTATAGACGTTGTACATATATTTTTTCCTTTATCGTTTGAGTTATATACATCCGTTTTCAAAAATTTAAATTGCAAAATGTGTGGAAAGAAATTTGTGTTTTTATTATAAATATATTTTATGTAATAATATAAATTAAAAACAAATAAGATTACATAATATTGGAGAAAGATTCGATTTATTAGAGAGAGACATTTTAGAAAAAAAAATTTATGTAATAAATATTTGTATCCAATTTTATGATTTGCTTGTGATTTAATTACAAAATTTACTTTTAAGTTTTGTTATTTATTCAATTGGAAAGATTTTGATTATGCAATTATTATAAATTAAAATGTTATAAAACTAAATAGATTTTTGTACCAAATGTACTTCAAAAATGTATATATAGATACTAATGGCTAATATACAAAAAGTAGAGAATGAGAAACGAATAATAGGGATAAAGGTGGCACATGCAACCTCATCAATTTCTCATCTATTGTTTGCAGATGGTAGCTTATTCTTTTGTCAATCAAAAAAAGGAGTAATGTGAAACCATTTTAGAAACATTAAAACAATATGAAAAGGTTTTGGGTCAACAAATAAATTTCTCAAGATCATCCGTAAAATTTGGACAAAAATAGAGGATACAGTCAGAACAGATTTGATGAATGTGCAAGGTATTACCAATGTAGGGGGAGGTCTTATTTGGGACTACCAGAAAGTTTGGGAGGTTCCAAAAAAAGGTCTTCTCTTTTGTTCTGGAGAGACTGCAAAATAAAAAAAATGTCTGGCTAGCAAAACTTCTATCAAGGAGTGGAAAGGAGGTAATGTTTAAATGAGCAGCCTCAGCTCTACCAATCCATGTCATGTCTTGCTTTCATCTGCCAAAGATGATCAAATCAAAATTAACAAGTGTGATAGCAAATTTTTGGTGGAGTTCTACTGGCTAAACGGGAGGAATGCATTGGATGAATGGTAATAAATTATGTAGTAGTAAAGCCACATGAAGATTAGGTTTCTGAACTTATGACGATTTCAATGCAGGGCTTTTGGCAAAACAATAATGGCGGCTAATTTCTGTGCAAAACACTTGATTTCAATACTATCGAAAGTCAAACCCAATAGAGCCAATTAGTTCATACTCATTGTCTTATGGATGGAGAATTATTATATTTGCTAGACCTCTGGTTAAGAAAAGAATTATTAAAAGAGTCGTTACCTTCATATCCGTATGGTGGGATCCACAGATACGTGCTCAACTCCCGAGGCCATCTCTATGTAATGAGTTGATTTTCGACCAAAAGTGAATCATTTATTGATGTTCAAACAAATTCGTGGAAGATTGATACACTTACAATTATGATAAATCCACAAGACGTTACTAAGATTAGTGCCATGCTCTTACGAGTAGCAAATGATTCATATACTCTAGGATGGCATTATATAAAGTCTGGTATATATACGGTCAAGTCAGGGTACTAAATAACAAAATATGTGGAACAAGTAATTGGAAGCAACCGAGGCCCATGATTGGAAGGTAAAATGTCCTCCGAAGGTAAAGCACTTCATGTGGCATATGCTTACTTGTTGTGCCTCATTGACAAATAATTTGAAGAACCAAAGTATAAGTTGCATTCCGAATTATGTTAAATGGGGTAAATTTTTGGAAACAATAAATCATACTATTTTAAAATGTCTACCAGCTTTACAAACTTGGGCACTTTCTCAGATTCCCTCGATACCAGGCGTATTCCCATCACCTTCGTTGTACACAAATATCTATTTTCTTTATTGGAACTACCCCTGGGGCCTAATACTTTGATTATAAAGAAACCGAGATCAATGTCGCTTACACGCATCAAAATTTCATGATAATTAAGTATTAACAATAAGGAGGAAGAGTTTACTAGTTACAAATTTGAAACTTGTGATACTAGGATTTTTCTATCAATTACCCTAGAGTATTATCATGTCATTGCAGTATAATAGGTATCAGTCCAATCAGGTGTGATGCTAGCAATCAAGATATATCAGAAATGATTAAGTCAAGCAAGCATAAATGATTTTTCGTTTTCAGTGATCCTAAGCGAACATGTTAAACATGCGGTAAATGTAAGGCTGTAAAACATAGACTACCATGTATAAGCTAGAACGTAACGATTATTGATACTGGCAAGAAAACAAAGCAGAACAAGTAAATAACAAGAGAATTAAACAGAAAACACAAATGGATAGAAGATCCCGAGGATGAGGTTATTGATGTAGGTGGAGTATACTAATCTACTTCGAGTGTTTATCAAACTAAAAACATTCTAATCCCTAGACAATGAACTTCTAATACTAGTCAATCCAATTTCTTGGCAGAAACTATCAAGTTTACAACACTTCCTAATCTCAATTCTCATTGATGAAACATGTAGTAAACAGGCATAAAGAAACAGCTCATTAATGTCAATAAACATCTTAGACAACCAATCTCTTGGGCTAAGCATGTAAATCTCTGGCACTAGTTGGTTCAGACATTTCATCATATACCTTTCGGGTATGAAATGTCTATGACCCAGTTCCAATTGATCAGAGAAGAACTAGCTAATAAAACTCTAGTCCAAAAGGGAAACAAAACGAATCTAACATAAACACTCTAGCAAACAACATCCTCCACCTAATCTATCCCATTCTCAAGAACCCTAACACTACTCAGACGCAGAAATCATGTTAAACATCATGAAACACAAATTGTTCAAAACATGCATAATAATAAAGATGACAGGAAGAGTAACAACAATGATTCAAGAACTAACTGCAAAATATCAATAACTCAAGATTACAATTCTCAGGATCGTTTGGTGGCTAACAACAAAAACCTAATAAAATAAACTCTCTCCCCTGGGCAAACCAAATGAGACCTATTTATAACAGTGTTTGGGAAAACCTTAAAACATAAAACGACAACGTAAAAGCGGTTTAAAAGTTGTAATGGTCCTGTCGGTCGAGTGATCGTGTCAAGTAACACTTAATTTCTTCTCTGCATCATTTCATACTTGACCGTGTATCTCGAGTGAACGTGTCGAGTGATCTGTGAAATCATCAGCTACTTCTTTGCTTTGCTCGATCATGTCACTCGAGTGTGTGCATCGAGTGACAGATGGTTCTGCTTCGCGTCCCTTCTGCTGCTCACTCGATCGTATGCATGTCGAGTAACGCTTGTTCCTCTGCTTCGCTCTGCATGTCTCCTAAGTACCTGAAACA